CTTAAGTTCTATCAATTCTATTTTATTTCTACAGTTGTTTGTTCCTTCCTCTTTTTTTTTGCTTGGAAATTAATCATGCAGGAAATGATTAACCACAGTGAGCTGTCTGTCTGCCTCTGACTCAATATGTTTAAGAGGGGGTGCCTTGAAGCAGCTCAAAATGTCTGACTAGATGCAAACAGTGCACTTGCAGTCCAATTGTTCACACTGTCCATCCCGCGTTAAATGTCACATTTCTTTTTAGCATTTGTAATGCTCCTGAATTGATTTCTGAAGTACCAAATTAAATCTGAAATGCCCAGAATTTGTGTTTCATGGAATTCAGTTTCATGCCACTTTTGCTTATTGCTCTTCATGGATTACTGAGCAAAGCAAGGGGTCTTTGCAAAATGCAACGTATACTTTCTCCTCAATTTTTAAATGAAATTAGTTTTTCTCATGATGAGTTGCACATCCTAATACTTTAATACCGTTTCTGAGAGAGACTGCTAGGTGTGCCTGTCACCTTGCAAAAATCAGAGCTTCCTGACGCAGCTCTGATCGTATGATTTACCCGGGATTAGGTGGGCAGCCCGTTTGCTAACAGCTGGGGGGTGGCTTTCCCAAACGGCAGCAGCCGTGTGCCCGCGGCTCTGGCGAAGGTGGCCGGCGGCCTGCGGCCCTGGCGCGGGGGCGGTAGCCGGGGCGGCGGGGCAGGCCGAGCGCGAGGCCTGTGGTGGGCTCGCGGGCTCACAGCGATGGCGGCCCCGGCCGGGGCCGGACCTCGCTCCGGAGGATGCGGCGGAGTGCACGGCGCTGCTGGCGCCTGCCTCGCAGCGGGAGAGCAGCTACCGCCAGCCCTGGAAATCTTCCTCCCTGGCTGACAACACAGACCTTTGTGCTGGGGGCTCAGGGACCAACGCTGTGGTGTACGTGGGCGGGTTCGTTACCGTAATCCTTTTTGCTGCACCACCAGCGCTCCTCTAGGTGTAACGTTTCCATATAGCTTCTTAAAGTCTGTGACAATTTACACTGCTGCCTAGAAAATTGCAAGGATGTGTGTCCTGGGTTTCAGAGTGCCAGTATGCCTTCAGCCTTGGTCTTTTCAACACCCTGCACCACCAAGTGTTATAGTTGTTAACAGATTTGGTAGGTGAAAGTTATTACTGGGTGGATCGATTGCTGTTTCAGGTATTTTTGTAGTGTCAGCTGTTAGCAATTGAACATAATGTCCATTTCTTAAATCCAGGTCTTTCCCACTGCCCAAGAGCAAATAATGCACCGAGTCCATTGCTGAAGTGTAGGACAGTAATCAAAGTTTTCCTCTAATTGAAGAGTTATGCTTAACATCTTAAGACATCTCTGCAAAACAGCAATCCTGTGAATTAGTGATGAACAAAGCAGCTGCAGAATTCAAGTTCAGTGTTGTGCTGACTCAGTGGTTTTGCTTCTGCAGCTGGAGAGGTGCTGCTTATCCCAAGGGTCAGCCCTAGCACTGAGCTGTGCTCTGTCAGCAAGCCCCCAGGTCTCTGCATCTCTTAAGTACATTATTAATCCTCCTACAGCCTTATAGTGATCAAATTTTAAAAACCAGAGCGCGCCTTTTTTTTTTGCTTACAAAGTCAGACAAAGAAATAGATTGTACAAAGTCTAACAACCAAACAGCAAGGGTGAGTTAGAGTTTCAAAGATAGAGGTGCCATTTCTTGCTGCAAAGTTTCAGCTTGAGTTTCTGAAATTCTCAGCAGCAGGAGCAGAGTCAGAGTGACAAAAGTAAGGGTGCAACAGTGACGGAACGTATGATTTAGGCTAAAACTTTACAAACTGGGGTGTTTTACTGTCTCTGTACGTGTATGCATTATGCTTTTGTGTGTGGGCATGCAGGTTTCTAAGTCGTGCCATGAGATCTCTTTTCTGACAGCTTCTAAAGGAAGTGTGAGCTCTGCAACATCATGAGTAAACAACTCTGCAGGATGCTTGTGTTAAACTTCAAGCCAGCTCTGCCTGAGCTTGGCCTGTTACAGAAGCTTGTCCTGTGATTCCAAAATTCTATTTTCCAGACCGCCCCGGAAACTGCCCTGGGGGCTACAGGGCTTGTTCAGCAGTAGCTAAATGCTGAGCTCACCAGTGTGTCGCTGCATTTCCATTCCTGACCGGTTGAGAAAGCCCTTCAGAAGAGGTACTAGCTACTGTGCAGCTGGTGATGACAGGTACATCAGAGGATGTCATCCCTCTGGAAGATGGGACAGGGAAAGAGGGGGCACCCAGTGCCTTTCTCTCTCTTACCTCTTTGCAAATAAGGTGTGCAGGGAGGGTTTTGGAGAGGCTGGATGTGTCCATAAGTAGTGGCTTCCCCTTCAAGAAGTCAGACTTTGAGCATTAGTTACCTTGCTTACCCTCTCTCCCCACCAATTCCTTAAGAAGCTGATCTAAGACAACCCAGTTAAAAGGAAAAAAAGTAGCACAGACCAACACAAGCATGCAGAAAGCAATCGCTTAACTGACAGGGAGGTAGACAAGTTATGGCATTTGCAAAAACACTGCTTTTTAGAGAAAGCACTTCATAGACCAGCTGGCTCACTTGCTGCATGCAGGTCTGAGCTGCCTTAAGGAATTCATTTAAAAGTCTGATATCAAACCAAACTTTATTCTGCCTGCTCCAGAAACTTTCCCATGGCACATGGAGTGCTGAGGAAACTTACAGTGCATTATCCAGACTGCTTTGGCCTCTTACCAAAGCAGTGCAGAGAGCAGATTTTCTCTTTTTAATGAGTTGAAGGAGTTAAAAGCTTGGTGAAACAGCCTAATGGCACAGTTATGCTAGAGACAACTGCAGCTGTGAAAAGACTGTGTTAAGAAACAGGATGGTTGTGGTCTGCTGTAAGAAATAATTTTCCTGTTGACTATTTTTTTAAACAGGAAGCTGAAGAACAAAGCAGCATTAGTCTTGGTGCTTTTAATAGGCTTCAGATCTCAAATATTGCATTTAGGATAAGCAGATTGGAAAGGATAGGGCTTTCTGCCGAATTTTATGCAACTGAGAGCTAGAAATACCGAAGACAGGAATACAACTGGATTCAAGCAGATCTTCTGAGTGTGAAGCTGGTGCTTCTCAGGAGATGCTGTGAGATGCACAGTAACACACCAGAGCACTGATGAGAGCGTGCCGGTCCGTTTGCAAGACTTTGCGAATGCGTGTGTTTGCACAGCACCGCATAGGCTTGGCTTCGCACAGTTTCCTCTTTGTCAGTCACTCTGTCCGTCTGCCAGCTTCCCCTCTGCTCTGCTTGCTCTTTTGCAGTCACCAGAAAGAGAAGCAGTTTCTGCAGTATGGGAAAAGAAAACCTGCAAACACTGGAGATGGTGGTAGTGCCTCACACAGCTTTGAACTTTGTTTTTTTCTAGATAGTCATCCAGAACTAGGGGTGCCGTGTCTGACTGCTTTCCAAGCCCTTTCCTCCCTAAAGATTTTAGACAAGATCCATTGAAGTCTTATTTCAGAAAAGCTTTCTTCTGAGGAAGGTAGCTCTGCAATTTTTTTGTGCGTGTATGCAAGCTTATAACTGTATTTTAATTCTTTTGAAGCATAAGCATCTGATGAGATAAATCTGTACATCTAACCATTCTTTTTTTCTCACATGTATCATCTCAGAGGTGTTACAGACTTTGTAGGTGATGACTCACCTCAAACCCTCACTGCAAATGCCATTTTGTTCCATTCAGAACATTTTCCTAATGCTTATTTAAACTGTAAAGGGTACTGTACCTATCATGAAGTTGGTTTGGCAGATACTGCGCCATTACAGTGTGCTATTACAGTTCTCCTTAGTTTTATCAAAAACAATTAAGTGACTTCAGAAAGTAAGAGCTGTGTATTCTTGTAAATAACTGCCCTGAGGACCTAGGCCGTTTGCCTGGGGTTGTCTGGAGAATAACCTTTATTCCTGTTCCCACTGTGTTTACCTGTCTTGTGCAAATATTATATAAATAGTGGCAAATCACTGTTACTAAAGGTGGCTCAGGTGAATGGGCAAGAGCGAAGCCCATGCTGAAATGCCATAGCACCGTTCGAAAAGCCCCAGAGCCTCCAATAGTCACAGTTCCAGTGAGCGGTGTGCCAAAATGCCACAAAAAGCCCTTGTGACTTGAAAACAATTCCTCAATGCTTGTCCTTTCCTTTTTTTTCATTTAATATTTTTGTTGCAATGAAGTTCTACGTCTCAGGTGTGACCCTCCTGGGATTGCCCTCGGTTGGAAGTTCTGTTTGGGGTTGGGAAAAGCAGGAGCCTGGCCTCTGGCAGGGAAGCTCAGGGATGGCTGAGCTTCGGCAGCCAGGCTTTTCCCTCCACAGCAGCCGAGAGGCCAGGCTGCCTGCTTGCTCGTCCTCCTTCCTGAAAATGCACAGAGCATGACTGTGTGTGCTGCTCCTGAAGAGGACGAAGGTGGATTCAGAGGTGATGATGGAGCTTGCAGTCTTCAAAGCAAGCAGGGGGAAAGGAAGAAGCATAAGTCTTTCCTAGAGCTCTGCTGTCCTACCCTACCCATAATAGTGGGCGGGGGGGGGAGGAGTGGATCTTCCAGAAACGTAAGGGCTTTAAAAGGTCAGCATCTCTTTCTGAGTATGATCTTGAAGAGATGATGCCTTCTTGAAGTAAGGGTTGATGGTATAGCTATGGGATTATCCTGAAGTACTACCACAGAAACAAGATTGTTGGATTAAACAGAGTTCAGTTTTATTATTGCATTTTTCTGAATTGCCACAGCAATGCATGGGTTGTATATGTGTGCAAAAGTGGATGTCTGTGAGTTTGTATGGCAATGGGGATTATATAGGGAGCCCCCATTTAAGGATGCTGGTTTTCATACAATGAAACATGAAGTGCTTTTTACAGACTACTTAGATTTAGAAAATGTAGCAGATAAACGTGTTAGCTGCAAGGATATTTTTCAGCTGAGTATAAATTTATTTATTAAGATTTATTAATCTCTGGGCCTTGTGTGTTTCTGTGTTTTGCTGTGCAGGTTTCTTAGCAAGACCAGACGGAGCTCAGCCTTCCACCATGCCCGTGCCTCCCCCTCCAGCTCCCCCTCCGCCCCCAACACTGGCCTTGGTAAGTTTTACAGGAGGCAAAAGTACCATAAAAGTACAGTGTACTCTGTTGATGCTTGTCATATTGGAGAGACATGGATTTGACAGATGGACCACTCAGTGGATAAGGAATTGGCTGGATGGTCTCACTCAAAGAGTTGCGGTCAATGGCTCAATGTCCAGGTGGAAAGCGGTGATGTGTGGTGTTCCTCAGGGGCTGGTGTTGGGACCAGTGTTATTTAACATCTTTGCTGGCGACGTGGACAATGGGATCGAGTGCACTCTCAGCAGGTTCGCTGATGACACCAAGCTGTGCGGTGCGGTCGACACGCTGGAGGGAAGGGATGGCATCCAGAGGGACCTGGGCAGGCTGGAGAGGTGGGCCTGTGCAAACCACATGAAGTGCAACAAGGCCAAGTGCAAGGTCCTGCACATGGGTCAAGGCAATCCCAAGGACAAATACAGGCTGGGCAATGAGTGGATTGAGAGCAGCCCTGTGGAGAAGGACTTGGGGGTATTAGTGGATGGAAGACTGACTGTGAACCAGCAATGTGCACTCACAGCCCAGAAAGCCAACCCTATCATGGGCTGTTTCAAGAGAAGTGTGGCCAGCAGGTCGAGGGAGGGGATTCTTCCTCTCTACTCTGCTCTTGCGAGACCCCACCTGCAGTGCTGTGTCCAGCTCTGGGGCCCCCAGTATAAGAAGGACACGGACCTGCTGGAGAAGGTACAGCGGAGACCACAAGGATGATTGAGGGGCTGGAGCACCTCTCTTATGAGGACAGGCTGAGAGAGTTGGGGTTGTTCAGCCTGGAGAAGGCTCCTGGGAGCCCTCTGGTACTTAAAGGGGGCCTACAGGAAAGATGGGAAGGGACTCTATCAGGAAATGTAGTAATAGGACAAGGGGTGATGGTTTTAAACTGAAAGAGGGTAGATTTAGATTCGATATAAGGAAGAAATTCTTTATCTGTGAGGGTGGTGAGGCAGTGGCACAGGGTGCCCAGAGAAGCTGTGGCTGCCCCCTCCCTGGAAGGGCTCAGGGCCAGGTTGGACGGGGCTTTGAGCAGCCTGGTCTGGTGGAAGGGGTCCCTGCCCACGGCAGTGGGGTTGGAACTAGATGATGTTTAAGGTCCCTTCCAACTCAAACCATTCTATGTATGTATATTGAACGGGATGTCCAGAGGTATTGAGGTGTGGACAAGGGTATGCATGACATTTGGGGAAGGCAATCTGACATTTTGTTTACAGTCAATGATTGATCCTAAAAGAGGGACCATCACTTCTACTCCCTTCCAGTGCCCATATGGATGTCATCAGCCACACTGGCTCTCCATCCTCCTCTTCCTTCCACACTGGTGGTCTGATCTGGTGTAGGGATCCTGGGTGGAGAGGCATGCCTCCTCAACAGCCTGTCTGTCAGGGGAATTGAAATCTTGCTGTCCCCTTGCCTTTCTCCAGCCATGCACTCCCACCTTCTCCGTTGTTCTACCCTAGTACTTACGTGACCTGAGCTGGAAAAAATCAATCCTGTTTAAATTTGATAAGGATAATTCTTAGCCAGCATAGTTCCCTCAGTCAGCCTGTGGTATCAGAGCACAGGATCCACTGCTGGCATAGCATGGTGGGTAGAATGGGACCTGACTTAAGTCAGCCTAAGCTGGAATGGAGCTTGTGCCATGTTTGCCTTCAGACAGTCAGTCACCTCACTGACGAGAAAGAAAAGGCTTCTTGAAATGCCATTGTAAAGTACTCAGATACTGTCATAGCAAAACCCAAACTGGTTACACAGATAGGTTGGGCTGTGCTTCCGAAGAATCTTTCCCTCGTTTTCTACCAAAAGCAAGATATAGACTCTGTCCTTGGTCCCTCCAGGGCAACTCTCAGGACCTTTCAGGAAATTGCCATTACACTGATCTGATAAGTTAGAAAGCTTTTCAGGAACCACCATTTCCCAGAAGAAATAACCATATACACATGTGTGTGTTTGTATATATGTGTATGTTTTGGAGGTTTTTTTTGTTCTTCCTTGAAAAACTGTGTCACCAAAACATAAACTGAAAAGAGAGGACCATTGAGGCAAACCTCATGCATCTAAAGGTTTTATTGGGTCTGTATTGTTGAAATGGTGATTGCCAGTTTAAAGTATTCTTATCAAAACTAAAACAGTACATAAAGCTCCATCTTTCTTCTGGTTTATCCAGAATTTGTATATTGGGAGTTTTCACGACAACTTTCAAGAATGTCCACCTTTTTGTGTAACCAAATAATGTGAGTAGTCTGTTCTTGTTCAGTCTCCAAAATGGCAGTTTGCCACAGATGTGCTCTGGTTTTAAAAAATAAGAGACTCTAAATCTTGAGTTAGAAAAATGTGAATTCACATAAAAGTGTTCTATTTCCAGTGAATAGTGTGGGTTAGAATAGCAGCAGTGTTTGGGGCCTCCAGTCAGTAACAAGGCTGGCTACCTATAACATCATTCACAAAACCAGACATGGCATGCTACCCACTCTAGTGCTGTTAAAACAGAAACTGAGGTCTCAAGTAACTACCATATTTGAGCAGAACTCTGCAGCTAGAAGTTGAGGGTTATTTTGCCGCCTCATTTTTAATTTTATTTTGCAGGCAAATACTGAAAAGCCATCCCTAAGCCGGTCAGAACAAGCAGGGCGAAATGCTCTATTATCTGATATTACCAAAGGAAAGAAGCTAAAGAAGACTGTTACTAATGATAGAAGTGCTCCGATTCTAGACAGTAAGTATGATTCTGCATGTTGGAATTTCTGTATGCGTGAATGGTTCTACATACCTCAATGCAGAAAATTATTTCATATATCATCACATGAATTGCCGTGAGAGAAGTAGGTAAAATGAAGTGCCAGAAGTTGGCATGCGTAAAAGTAAATTATGTTCATCATGGATTAAGTCATCTGAGAAATCAAGGACTGCTTATGAAATGCGAGTGTTAATTTGTTTGCTTACTCTCGTAAAGCCGTTCATTTTCTCATTTGCTTAAATCAGAAAACTATGCAAATCCTACTAGGAGCTCTGCTGAGATGCTACAGCAGATCAGGCAAACAAACCCCCCGTCAGGACTGAGGAGGGCACAGAGAATAAATTGGAATTTCAGACTCTACTTCTGCATAAACAGTATAAAAATTAAGGCACCCCTGGCATGACACCATTGACTTGTTAATGGCCCCCGTACCACTTAAAGCAAAACCAGAGCCAGGAGCCACAGCCCCACCTGTGTGTCACTGCTGCGTGCAGTTCTGCCACTCCTGGGGTGACTGAGGGCTGTTATCTATCCGGCTGAGTCCTGTTGCTCGGCCTGCCCGGCGGTGCCCTGGCACACGGCAGCAGCTCCACTTACCTGAATGGAGACAAGGTCTCCATCCAGCTGTGCTGCTGCCGCGTCTCACTCTGCGTCTCAGCAGGTGCTGTGAGGGGGCTGGAAAAGCCCGTGTAGCAAAAGTATTGGGAAGACAGAACAGAAACAGGGGCCTGCTGTGTCAGAGGAACAGCATTTAATGCCTAGGGAAGGAAGACACATCTACAGACTGATTAGCAAATGTGATACAACTCAGTCCAGGTCTGGCCATACAATTAAAGGCTGGACTGTGATAGGAAGTTGATGAGGAAAGGAGGAAGTGCCCAAAGGAGGGTGACCAAATAAGAATAATAAAAAAAATAGATACAGTCCTGCAGTCAGCCAGGTGCCTAGTTTTTAAACACTTGAGTATCATCTCTGAAAGCAAAGTTACTCATTCTAGCTATTGTAATGAGCTGGAGAAAAGCATTAAGTGAATTAAAGGAGGGGTAAACAGTAAGATTAAAATGATGTGGCCTATTATCTTGTTTACATGAATTAACAAATCACGATGAAAGACAACCATAGTAGCAGCATTTCTCCAGAGGTTCACGCCCTGTGTGAGTCAGAGCTGAACTGAGCTAACATGCTTAAGAAAAGAGAAGGATGACATGAAGTATTCCCCCATAAACACATTCTCCCTTCTTTTTTCTGGGTGGGATTATTAGAAGTGCTTTTCACCCACAGGTTTTAATTACTTTAAAGTCAGTGAAATTTTTACCCACACAAAGTTGTGGAAATTGAGATACCAAGAAATTAAACAATTGATCCTCAGCCGTGTAGCCTGTCATCTGAGAGCTAGTCTCCACAGATATCCCAACCTGTCGGCCTGCTCATTTTGCAGTGATGCTCTGAATAGGACTCTTCCCTGTATTTGTAGTTGTGGAAACACTTTCATTTTACTTCTAGCATCTCAGTGTTGTCACGGCAGAAATAGTGACATTAGAGAGAAATGGGAGAGGAAGGGGGGCCTGTTAAAATAACTCCTGCCTGTTGGAAAAAATAGCAGCTAATGATCCTGTCATTGCATTTCTGGACCTACATGACAGTAATCAGAAAAGAAAGTTCTTTCCCCACTAGGCTTTATTTAAAAAAGTAGATCTCTTGTAGCATCACCAATAATGACTGAGTTCTGTGCGTTCCCAGAAGTGATCACCAGAGGACACCTCCAAGAGGAAGGACAGCTCTGTCTTCCTCCTTCCTTCCTCATTTCCCGTGAGATTGCCCTGTCTCTTGGTTTGTTTATGGAGAGGTGGCAGGGAAGGATGAAAGAGCAAAGGTATGAAGAAATGGGAAGCAGCTGCAAAGATGCTAACAAAGGCAACGTGATGTTCTCAGAGGTCCATCCATGCTCAGTTCCAAATTCTCCATTGTGAGTTTCTCTGCTTTCCAGTCTAGAGCAGACCCAAGGAAAGTAATGGCTTAATAAAACGCTTTGCCTGTGTTCATTGCACCACCTCTTCCGTGGTGCAGCAGTGGCGGTGGTGGTAGCTGTGATGATCCAACCTGAACAAGGACTGGTGTGTTTGGAAAGCTCATCTGTATTTCTCCAGCTACAGGCATTGCTCTAATGAAAGAGATGACTTTGCAGGATCAGTCTTGCTTCTCTGCCTAACATGGGGGATTTTTTTTTCCAACAGAACCCAAAGGACCTGGTGGAGGTGGCGGCGGTGGCTTTGGAGCAGGTGGCGGTGGCAGCAGCGGGGGTTTTGGTGGTGGCGGTGGTGGCAGCTTCGGTGGTGGTGGAGGACCACCTGGCCTTGGAGGCCTTTTTCAAGCAGGAATGCCAAAGCTCAGATCTGCTGCGAGTCGAGATGCCGGTAAGAAAGACTTTGCAGTTCCAGTGTGAAAAAGTAAATTACATTGCTTAAAACCCTCATAGCACTGCAATAAATTACCTGCTGGGATTGAAAAAGTCTTCAAATATCTTAGGCTCTTAGGAAACGTAATTTTCAGCTTGAATTTTGCTTTATTCTTAATACTAGGTTTTATGAGGGAGAAGTGAGACTCCTCTTTCCACCCATCCTCCTAGTTATTGACAAAAACTAAATGTTGAATTTAGTTCAGCAATGTTGAATTGCTACCTGCAAAGTACAGTCAGGCAGACTAGGACCTGCCTTAGCTGCGGGTGTGCAGGACCAGAGGGGAGCATAAGAGTATTGCACGTTAATTCTCCCTTGTGCACCAGGAAAAAGGATCGGCTTGTCAAACTGAAAGTACATTTGCGTCAGCTCCACAACAGCATGATTTGCCACAGGCTGGTACGCACACTGCCGTTGGAGGCTGCTCTGGGGCATGCCAGACCATTCTTCTCTATTCTTCTGGCTGGCAAAACAGCCACCCGATGCCTCATGCCCCTAGAAACAGAGGAGATCTGCGGCCAGTGAGTTTTGTAAGGTTAGGGATGTAGGATTTCACACTCGTTGAAGGAGAACTGGGCAGTGCAGGTTGTAGGTGTTATGAACCTTACACATTTTATAGACTAATGTAATTTTTCAGCATATGCATACAACACAGTCTCTTGGAGCTGTTATTTTCTATTATGTCACAGTCTGTTCTGGGAACCTGTATTAATACAAAAGTTCCCGGCCTCGCAGAACAGTACTTCTTCAACTGCAAGGCAGACTGCCTTTTTCTTGACGTGCACAAGTACATCCTTAGGTAACAGCAACTAAAGAAGGCTGAAAAGAGCCTTTTGCCAGACTGTTGTGGTTAAATACCATTTAAAAGCTAAGATTTCTTTGCCTTCAGGTTGTCGGTATCAGGTACTTGCTCTTCACCCTTTCTTCCGTCCCCGTGTTACCGCTTGCAGCGTGACGGCCGCATCAGTTGTGTTACCTCGTGGCCCCTTCGGGCTCCGGCAAGCCGTCCCTCCTAAGCATTACCGGGACATCACCCGCTGCTCTGGCGGGGTTCCCCGGCGCCATCGGCGCTGGGCTCGCTGCTCCCGGGCGCCAGGCCCCGAAGGGCAGCGTGCTCCGGCCCGGGGCTGAGCCCCCCGCTGTTGGCAGCCCGTTAGGAAACCGCTGGGCGAGGCCGCTGTCCGATGGATGCTGACGCCCCGTCTTGTGTCCGCAGATGCCGGGGGAGGCCGCCCGCCCGCCCTGCCGCCCGGAGCCCGCTCCGCAGCCGCCAAGCCCTTCTCCCCGCCGAGCGGCCCGCCGCGCTTCCCGGGGCCGCCGGCGGGGCCGCGGACCTCCGCTCCCGAGGCGCAGAGGAGCCGCATGCCGCCGCCGAGGCCCGACGTCGGTTCCAAGCCCGAGGCCGCGCCGCCCCCGGTGCCCAGCACCCCCCGGCCCGTCGCCTCCAGCCTGCACAACAGAGGGTCGCCGCCGGTGCCGGGCGTGAGCCGGCAGCCCAGCCTGGGACCCTCGCCCCCGCCGTTCCCGGGCAGCCGGAGCGCGGGGCCGGCCGGGTCCCTCCGGCAGCCCGGCCCCGGCGCGGCGCCCCCCTTCTCCGGCCGCCCGCCGCTGCCGCCCACCCCGGGCCGGCCGGCGGAGGACAAGCCGCCGCCCCCGCCGCCCCCCGCCGGGCACAGGCCGCCGGCCGCCCGGGAGGCGGCTCTGCCCCCGCCGCCGCCGCAGAACAGCAAGCCGCCCGTGCCCTCCGCCCCCCGGCCCCCCCTCGGCGCTCCGGCGCCCCCGCCGCCCCCCAGCAGGCCGGGGCCGCCCCCCGTCCCGCCCGTCCCCGGCGGCAGCGACGAGATGCCGCGGCTGCCCCAGAGGAACATCTCGCTGGGGTCCTCCTCGGCGCCCGGCGGCGGGGGGGGCCGCGCCGGACCCCTGCCCCCCCCGCCCAGCGAGAGGCCCCCGCCGCCCGTCAGAGACCCCCCCAGCCGGTCAGGTAGGGAGCCGCGGCGGTGGGGACCCGCGGGGGCTGGGCGGGTGGGATGAAGTGACGGGCAGGGGGAGGTTTGGCGGTGGCGACGGCCGTGCCCCACGGAGCCTAACCCCGCAGGGGCGGCCCCGGTACCCGCGGCGTGAGGGGCTCTGCGGCGGGGACCGGCGGGGTTGTGGGCATCGCCGTGCGTCGCCGGCCCGGTCGTGCACGCTTTCGCAGATCTGGGCAGCTTTGGTTATAGTTGCTGTAAGGAAAAAGGGTTGTAAACGGGGGGGGGGGGGGGGTTCCCCATCGCGGTGACTAGTTTGTCTGGCTCCTGATAGGCGACAGCATTTGCCTTCCCGAGTCAGCCAGCGTGGGTTAATAATGGTGGCGGTCTCATCAATGGAGCTTTGCAGAACCCGACCATCTGCGTGTGGAGAGACACGAACACTCACTGCCAAATACAAATTATTTTAATGAAAGACCTAGCCAACAGTTGTTAAATGTAATGGCAGTTGTTACAGCGTGACTAACTGTTGTTACTTACCATATGCAGATTTCATATGAGACCAAAAATAGAATTGTCTCCTTTGAATTATTTCATAATATACTTTGTCCCCTGTGACAACTGTTGTTCGTAACTTTTACGAATAGCATATTGTAACTTAATTCTCTTAATACCTGGTGGTTTGTTCTCCCTTTGGAGACGAGAGAGTTTAGGCGCAAACAGCCAGGCCCTGTGACATCAGAAAGGGAGAAGCGTTGCACAGAAGGCAACTCTAGGAAGCCCCGTAGAGTTGCCTTCCATTTCGTCCTTTGGAATTAAAATCTGGAATCATCTCAAACCCGCCCAGTCCAGGTCAACAGAGATAGATTATTGTCATGGGAGCTCTCAGAGGCGACAGCCGTCCGTGTTGCTTTCCAGCTCCTTGAACCAGCCTGGATCTTCTGTAGCACAGCACCTGCAGCAGCCGTGCAGCTACAGAAGATACTGGCCCCGAAACCAGGCGTTGTGGAGCTGGTTGCCAGCCCAAAGGATGGCACAATGCCAGCGCAGCCTGCAGTAAATGAATCAGAGAAATCTTGTCACGTTTGACCGGGAGCATGGATCAAAGTTGCAGGGAGCGTCAGCAATTATTCAGACACTTCCAAGAGCTTCCTCTGTGATGGCCTCTGCTTCCACCAGGGCTTTCCTGGTTGGCTCTTTTCTGAGGCAGATGGTTTTAGCAAATCTGCACTACCTTCCTGCAGGCTTAATAAGTAGAAGGAAGTTGTAGCAATAAATTAGAAACATAAATACTCCTCCTGTTCTGCAGCAGTTCAGTATAGATGATGGGGGTTAGGTAGGTTTAGAGAGAGAGAGCGTGCAGAAGTATCCTGAAAGTTGCTAAATGCTTCTTAGAAACCATTCCCTGAAGGCAAACTTAAGTAATTTGTTTAAAAAATGAAGGGAAAAAAAAAAGAAAAAACCCCACAAAGTACAGCACATTTCTTGAAGCATATTTCAATGCTTCTTGCTAGAGACAAAATATCTGCTGCTCTCTTTTTCAAAATGCATGCCTGTAGCTACATTTCATCATGACAGGGAAGCATTTCATAAAAATAAACATAATTGTCAGTTGCACAACTGTGCCAGGCAGAGGTAGCGAGACCTTTGAACACACATAGCCCTCCACACCCTCTGCTTCTTCTCCTCGTGTCCTAACCATGGATACCTCTCCCTAGCAGCAGCAGCTTTCTGGCCTTTATTTACTGGCTTCTCCCAGGCAAGCGCCCTTCCCCTGCCCTCAGGACAACCCTGGCCCTCTGTTACGTGGGCTGTACCTTCTTCCTATTTGACCTGTCGTGTCACCACGCTGGTTACTCAGGTGCACAGACACTGAGAATGCCAGTCTACGTGTGAGGTCTGTTGCCAGTTTAGCAGGAGGTGGATATTCTCCAACTACCAGATAAACCTGGCGTGCAGCACATATGTTTATGAATGAGCGAGCAGATGCCATGCTGCTTGATGCTGCCTCTCCTGGGCTGAATTCTGCTGTGTGCCACCGCAGACTCCGCCTGTGACACCCAGAGGGGACCATCCCTATGGACAAAGAGCCTCCGAGGGTGGCAGAGCTTTTCTGCTACAGGTCCTCTTGCCTTGCAGTGGTACATGGGAGGGAAATGGGGTATGGTTTGGACCTCCACAGTACCACGCATTCTAGCTGTAACCATTGCTTGTTGTGGCCCATGTAATTTGGAGTGGTTTAAAAGTGGCTTCAAGGACCAGCACCTCTACAGAGGCTTCTATAGCTGAGGGAAATGGCAGTATGGGCACTGAGGTGTGTTGATGCTTATATATGCCCTGCTCCCCTGGTCTCAACTCTTCAAATCAGCACCAACTCCCTAGAGAGCCCTGGAGAGTGGGGAAGCGGGTGCTGAGAGCCATTCCCCCTCAGGGCCGAGGGCCCCAAGCCAGCCCACCCTCTCTGGTCTGTTAGTGGGAGGCTGTGGGACGCAGGCAGCCGCTTACCACCAGCAGAATAACCCCTGGTGCAAACAGCGTTTGTGTGCTTGCCTCTTGTCTTACTCCAGGCCCCCTCCCACCACCTCCTCCCATAAGCAGGAATGGAAGCACTTCAAGGGCTTTGCCTGCTACTCCCCAGCTGCCCTCCCGAGCAGGGCTGGACACCCAGAGAGCTGGACCACGACCACCGCTTCCCCCTGACCGGCCAGGCTCGGCAGCACCGCCGCCACCTCCACCGCCTTCATCAGCTGTCAGAAACGGCTTCCAGGACCCAGGTGATGGTAAGCCGTCCTCCCGGTTGTTTACCTTTGGGATACAGGCTGTGTTTCTAGTGCAGACGTTTGGTTTCTGACCAACAGAGCTGTCAGTTGGGTCATGATTAACCCTGCCAAGTAAGAATAGAGTAAATATGCCGTACGTAGAGCAGAACTGTGAAGTCACTGGTACAGTCTCTAGAATAACCCTTCGAAAAATAGACTGAAAAAAAAGAAACATACTTACTGAGCTTTGCTTTGCTACAATTCAGAAATAAGACCTGGGTAATACGAATTCAAACCATAGCTACACTAAGACTCTTTGGAAGTCAGAATGATGACTCAAAAGCTGAAAAACAGTTGAGGGAAGAGATTGTCAGAACTCCGCTGAAAATACCAAGTATATCTCTTTTTGCTGGTGTGTACTGACGAGGTGAGGTCCAAGACTGCTGTGTTTTAAAGATGCATTGTGCTTTTCTTTTTAATTGTTTTCTGTTTGCAAAAGACAGATAAATCTTTCAGCTAATTATGGGAGGCCAGAATTGGTATTTCTGACATTGGTAAGGTTAGAAAAAGCAAGCAGAAAATAAACCAGTAACTCATGCTTTTGAAGCATCTTCATACAATCAGATAAGGTAGGTGGATCACAGACACATTTTTTTCTACACAAGTCATTTGCAGGGTTCAGAACCTGCAGCTCCTTTACACACTGGTTTCTAATTGCAACCATTGGGAGTAAACATAATAAAACTGGATCCCAGCAAATAACCACATGTACGACTGCTGGACAAAGCTTACTCAGCTGTTCATTACATTATGCAATAAAATATAGCAATATTACAAGAAAGTTATGGTTGCAAAGTCCTGAAGCAACTGAGTGAAGAAATGGCAAAGTTTGATAGCCCACACTTTCTTCCTTGGGCCTCCAAATTCAAGTGCAGAACAGAGCTCTGTAAACATTTCCTATTATTTCAGTGAAGACACTGAGAGCTTGCTTTATTCTTTAGAATCCTGTAGACTCAATAAGTACATCAGTAGGGCGCGTGTAGTCTCAAGAGATACCGTTTTCAGCTGATGGATTTTTCCAGTTTTGCCACTAGTTACATACAGGTTTCTCTGTCATAAATTTTATCATAATGGCTCCAAATTTTCCTGTATAAAAATTAAGAAAGAAAAAACACTGCTTATAGGTCAGTATGCTTTTAATGATGCTTTTGAGCTCTGTATATCTGTGAAGTATGAATATCAGCAAATTCTATACCCAGGAACAAATTGCTGTTCTGAAGTAGGAGACGCTATGCGTTTCCAGTAACATGTATATATGCATGCATGTGTGTGTTAAAAAAACAGATCTATTATACATGAAAGGGAACGCAGCACGTATTTCAGTGGAATTATGGCCATTTTCCTGATCTATGATTTTGTGTTAAATTGGCTAAGTGATCAGTTAAAGTTAATAAGAATTTTCATTCTCAAACTAATCGAAAGCATCTTCTTCCCTGATTACTCAATAGGATTCTGGTTCAATACCCAGCTATGTAAGCATTTTGCAATATAAAACATGAATTAAACATGATGTTAATGTCAATTTACTCTCCTGAAGCTGTGTCACAAAACTCATGAATGAATTGCATGGGATTTTTTTCAGATGAATGGGAAAGCAGATTTTCATTTCATCCTATATCTGATTTGCCACCTCCTGAGCCATATGTACCCATGAACAGAAGTTATCCCAGTAAACTAGCAAGAAATGAAAGTAGAGGTAAGTTTGTTCCACCTCTGCTGTTGGAATTTCAGCATATCATCCTAAAAACAATGTGGATGGGAAAGAGACTGGATGCTGGGGTTTCAAAACTTCTCAGACAAACAGCCTGGTCGCCTTTCCCTACCACACAGAAAAAGCTAAATGCAGGTTTGCAGGCACAAGCCCTCTTAAACTTATATTTGAGGGGAGAGTTGTTTGGTTTTTAAGCTGGAACGTGTATTATAAGAGACCACCTCTGCATTATACTCAGCCCTTCTGCCACAGGCAGCCAGAACCACAAAATCCCCTAGGACTTCCTCCTCATTTCCCATCTAAATTCATGCATAACTCATTTATTCTTGTGCCAACATCATCCTTGAATTTAGCTATCCTCCCTTCTTGGTGTGTTAAACCCCTAATATTTTTTAAGACAACAGTCATATCCTCCACTCAGCTTTTGTTCTGCTGGGCTGATTAAATCAGGATGTACTAGACTTTGCTTCCAAGCTATGCTCTCTGATCATCAGGGTTGCTTCTGTATACATTTCAGTTTGATTTTGTCTTTTCCAATCAGTGTTACATGCTGTTCCAGTTCAGGTCTCAACAGCAGCATAAATGTTTGCTATCTTCATTAGTGGTATTTTGCCTGATACACCCAAGGATCAATTTACTTCTTTCACAACCAGTGACATCGGAGGCTCACAGTTATCCTGTAGTCATCTGTACACTCAGATCTTTCTCCCTCTCTCCTGTTTCCAAATGCTGAGGTTTTGGTTTGGAGCAGAAATTCCTGTTAGTCTCTGACCCTTCACTTTGCCCTGTTAGCCTTCTTCCCCCATGAAGAAAGGCAAAGTAATATGTGCAGTTCTTGTGTTTCCTTTCATGAATTTGCAGTGAAAATCTTTATATAGAGAAAAACACGAAGAGCTCTGAAATGTGACTGTATTTAGTCACTTTGCCACTTTGATTGAAATTTGCATGTGTTTCAAGTAGCATTGGAAGTTACGTGTTTGCATAAAACAGTAAAGCTAACATGAGCTGTCAATCTGTTTTGAGAACAGGACAAAGGACTAAAATACATATACTTCCTAGACATTTGGGGGTAGCGTTAGTTAAAAACTTTCTTTTACACTGTTTGAAGTTCTGATGTTGTTTAATAAACTAACCGGAAACTCTACAAAGATTTTTTAGTAAAATGGCTAGGCAAGAAAATTAGTAGATCTTTACCAGTTACTGAATTAATGGCTTGGATGTGAACTCCCACTTTAAAAGAAACCAAGAGTAACACAAAAATCTTTCTTTCTCTTTTAGGTGGCTCTGGCCGAAAAGAAAGAGGTGCCCCCCCACTTCCACCTATACCAAGGTGAAATGGGTTCTGGCCCATCTTTGGGCGATGTCTGTTTTCAGACTTCCTTCAGGTCAGCTCTCCTGTCCACATCATTGGAAAGTTGTCTGTTTTGCTTTTTTTCCACTTTTGGCTTGTCAGCTGGAACAAACTTCAGTCTCTATTACAGAAGTAATAGATGCAGCTTATGAACTATAGTTGCTCAAAGCTATAAACTTTATTTGCTTATACTGCGGGCTGTCATGAAAGGCATTTGTGGACCGTACACAACATACGTGCATCATGCTTACCGTGTCCAGCCCTGTCCCCTCGAGAGCTCCACGGGAGGTCTGGCTTTGAATTTAACGAGAGCTGGAAAAAAGCTGTGTCATTCACAAAGCTGTTTCATTCACTTTGGGTACAGTGGCTGTATTATTTGAATGATAAAGTACAATCTATTTTAAAAAAAAAAGTTTCTGGGGAAAACTGTGTAGCCAAGAGTTCCCTGGATCCTTCTTTGCATGCCTAACCTGGCCCATCTGCTTCTGCGAGCCATAGACCTACGACATGGTGACCCAAGAGTTCATCCAAAACCTTTTCACTTCAGCTTAGCCAAGCAAACCTTGTTTTAAATAATAGATTACACATCCTGCCCCGAGGATGGAGTGTGTCTGGTCTTGCTTTTATCTGTGGAGAATCTTCCGAAGAAAAGCACAAGTGAAGAATTCAGCAGCATAAAAATATCTTTTTTTTTAATCCCTCTTTCCTCGTGTTTTAAGTCTTATGCTTTTAGTCACCTAATTCTTTCCTATTCTGATGTGGACCAACCCACAGTCATCCATGTCCTGAATTACTTTAATGCCCTTTACCTGAGACTACATACAAAGAGTCCTCAGAAAGTAGTCTTGGTGCAAATGCAGCAATTATTGTAGTTGCAGGCTCCTTCTATAAAGCATTGCTAACATCAGTACTCCACAAACTGCTTTCCAGTTGTTTCTTTGGTACAATTAAATAATGGGGTTTGACTTAAAAAGCTTCCTGGGGCTTAGGTCACAAGTCTCAGAGAGGTTGTATTTGATCTGTGTTACAGTAGAGCAGCTGAGGTCAAAAATGTGTGTTAAGTGAAAGCCCTTTGATGTAGTGAAGGAGGTCCGGGTTTGTGCGTTCAGGTGGGAGCATTGGCTCCAAAATTTGCTGTCTGCACTGGTTCAAGAAAAGGGGGAAGTTCTGGCCTTCTGAGTTTACCATGAAGCCTGTCCTTTCAAACTTTGCTGAAAGAAGTCTCTGCAGAGAGCTGCAAGGCTTGCTTTAATAGAAGAGAGAGTAAAGTGTTCTAGCATTGTGACAATTGGTTAATACGCTTAACGGCTTTTGAATTTCATATATGAGAAAATAATTCATTGTATGAGTACATTGTACAAATGGATCTAAACACATATAAAATGCCTTTGGAAATGAGAGGAAGATTGTAATTCTGGATTTGAAATACTGCTGAATGATAGCTCTTTATTAATTGGACTTCTGAAGGTTAGCTCTGAAAAATTTCGCCTCTGTTTTTTGAGCGTACTCCTTGGGATCCCTAGCAAGTCTGTATCAACAGCCATGTTCCACAGGGTGTTGCTTAAAAAAAAGAAAAAAAAAAAAAAGAAAAAATTAAAATCTAGTCCTGTAGGTTAAGAAGACATTTCTCTGGCATGGGAGACATGACCCCAAGTATGCTCTGTGGCTGGCATGAGGTCAGTCCTTGACAACCTAAGGGATTTAGCCGAAGAGAGTCTGGACCCCACTGAAGTGTTTGTGCGTAAGGCTTCTTGCTCCGTCAGTGGGCATGGAGGGGCAGAGACCCCCCTTTCTGCCTGACAGTGAAGGGGCATGAGACAGAGATGGATTTGGCCAGATCAGATTTAATTTGGCCTTTTCAGTGTTTGTTTACAAAATCTTGTTAGCTGTGATAACTGTTTTTTCCTTTTTATATCTAATGACCTATTTTAAGTTACTATTTATGGTCTTGAACCTGCAATTAAATGCGCAGGCGCAGGGATGTATCTACATCTAATTTCAGGATCGTGGCTGTAAGAGTTTCTTAAACAGGTATTAGTGGGACCTCCATGTGACAGGGGTACCTCGGGATCAAGCCTAGCGCAATACTGAATTTGTATATCTATTTTATGGATATCACTTAAACAAAGTGCCTGTCTCTTTGGGATATTATTATGTGAATAGAAGTCCCAATAAGATTTTTAGGATAGTAACTTAAAGGATAAATTATTGTATTCAAGTTTTTAAACTGAAGCACTTACAACTTTCTAAGGAACCACATTTTGAATTTAAGAATACAGTATTTTCAGTACCTTGACCTGCCAGATCCTTCCTAATATTCAAATAGCTATGCAGTCAAAAAAAAAAAAAATTCCAGAAACTATACCTTTCTTGTAACTTACCTGCTTCCAGCATGATTGTTTTACTTTGAGTAAGTCAACAAAGATGCTGCACATTGTTCTGTCAACTCTCCGCATCATTCAAAATATCCTACATTTGATCTTTTGAGCGAGGTTTTCTGACCAGAAATTCTGGACCACTACCAAAGACTTGGCAAACTTGCTTCAGTCTCACTTTAAAACATGCTGTGTAAAAGGCCCTCAGTAAACAAGCCAAGAAACCTGGGCTGCTTGGGTTTTAGCACTTCTTTGTAGTAGAGAAACCTCTTCAGAATGGATGTTTGGCATGTATGTAAAATAGCTTAACAAAGCAGAAAGAGGTATTTTTGTTCACCTAACAACAACTTTACTATTTATATCTTTTGCTATAAAAGTTCTTAGATATATTCCAGAACAATGTGGCATTTTATCATTCAATATATTGCTTCATATATTCGTAGCTATTTACAATATGATCAGTATTAAAGTATTTATTTCACTATGAAGTGTTAAAAAAGAATACAAAACAGTTTGAATCAATGGTGCCTTATGACTTTTTTAGTCAGCTTTCCTGTGTCTCACTAGAAAAATTAATAGGCATTGCTCTTCCAAGTCCTAATGTAACTAGAGCCGACAGTAGCATCATACAGCGTTTGAGCCAAGTCCCGCTGTTGTCGTGCTCAGTCCGCCAACTTCAGATTGAGCTCGGTGTATGGAGAGACTGTTGCATCAGTCTTTAGGTGAGGTGTAAGTGGGCACTGGTCAGCCCTACAATCAGTCATTGGTATTGCTCTGGAAATTTAACCCTTTCCCCAAACCAGTGTCTCGCCCCGCTGTCCATACAGCTCAGCTGACTTCAGCGTGGTTGCATAGGTTATTAGAGGACTAAATTTGATTCGCTGCTTGCATATAGGATTTACTGGTTTTGTTTTAGTGCGTTGTATTATAAACCTTTACACCTCAAACTATCGTTTTATGTCATCACTAAGGCTCGCATTGTGTGACAACAGCCACGGATGTTCATTTTTGTTTAATTCAAGTCAGTAAATAAAATGGGAAGAACTTTTGTACCATATGACAACAAACTCTGCTCAATATTTCTGGAAGAAAAGCACATTCTGTCTGTTACGACTTTCTACAGCAGCCACTGGCAGAAGAAGTCACAGTAATTAATGTTCAGAGTTGTTAAAGGAAACTCAGCTTCTGATTCAGGAAGCAGGTATTTCTGTAAATGAACTACTTGTTAAATAAGGTCACCAAGTTCTTGTTTAGAAGCCAGCATTTCCCAACACTAAAAGAATCATAAGAATGATTTTTTTTTTTTTTTCCAGCAAGACTGAACTGTTAGAGTTCCTTAAATTGTCACTTAAAAAACTGGACAGTAGTTTCTCCTTACAGCAACAACTGTTTACATATCACTTGTAGAAGTAGATCTCTGTTGGAGCGGAGGATGAGGGAACTAAAGTGCTATCATGCTTCACATATATTCTAACACAACAATTTTCTGTGAAGAATTATGGAAATAGAAAGGGTACTTTTTGCCTTGGAAGCAAAGAATGGAGTTGAATGACCAAAATGGGATTATTTCAAGCAGAATGTCAAATATCAAGACACTTGGAGAGGGCCCCTCATCCACAGGATGCTGGAAGGGAGAAGATTGCTCAAGAAAATAAAGGACAATTGGCTGAACATTGCTATCAATACTAGAGTACAAATTACGATATAAAAAGTGCATGTATATAATACCACCTCGTAACAGCGTGAACACCGTTGTCTCACAGTCAGGTGCAAACAACCTGTTAGCGGTACATTGACTCTGTATAACATATATTTCATGAACTTTAATCTTTCAGACAGTATTCTCAAGAAAATAAGGAGAATCTCTTACCTAAGATAACTGGTAACACATTAAGTGTAGCTAGTTCATGCAATGGTTTTTCATGTACATTGGGAGAAAAAGTGGGTCTTGTAGCCTGTAAGGTGAAAGTGTCTGGACTGTTCAATTAAAATGTAAACCTGGAGCACTGGCAAAATGGGAGTGTTAGGAGTTACTCAGCAGAAGCAGGGCACGTATATATATGTTCTCAGTGAGTGAGTATGCAGCAGGTGGGTAGGCAGACTAAAAAAAATGGAAACCGCACGTCATAAAAAAGGGAGTAGCCCTTAAGTTTGTTGCCATTTTGAAATACAACTTGTCTGTAATAAATGTTCTTTAGTGTAAATTAATGCATGCAAAGGAAGACCTCTAAATTTGGACTTCCAAAGCCACACAAGACTATGAAAGAGAGAGAAACATAACTTAAAACATAGGCTGAGCAGAAAATAACGTTTTTATCAGATGCTTAAAGTTTGAGCTTTTTATAAAATATTAATCTAATTCTGTGAATATTTTTTGCTCAACATTTATTTTGTATGTGATTTCGTTCTCCTTATTTTTCTGTCCTATGCCAAATAAATTTTACTTTTATTTAATTGGTGGTGCAGACTCTTACATTGAGAACAACCACAGTTGCTTCCTTGTCAGAAGCACACATCGGCTTTAGCAGGAGCGTAACAGTGAGCCTGGCAGGAGCTGGGGCGGGTTGTCCTCCTCCCCTCCTGCCTGCCATTGAACAGCAGTAATGCTCAGAGGACTTTGGGCCTCCATACAGTGAAGATTAGACACCTGCAGATAAGGAGAAATCGTGAGTTTAGTTTAGGATAAAGAACGATTGACAAGCTGTGGTCAGTGACGCTGTACTTGTAGATGGCTGTTGCGTGAGCTGTGGGCACTGGCTCTTGGCAAGGCCAGCTAGGCACTTGCCATGGGGAGATGACATGGGAAATCACTCTAGTTAAGCACAGATTTTTGTTCCTCTTACTTCCACTCACTAGGCAGAAGGCTGCCGGAGAATCTCAAACAAATGAAACCTTCCTTTTGACTTCAGAGTCCTGTTCTTGATCTTGGATGTTACCTTTTCAGATAATTTGGACCAGGTTCATCACTGATATAAGGAGGCTCAAATTCAGGCTGTCCTTCCAGCTTCTCAGAAACTAGGAAGGTATTTTAAAACGCTGAGCTAAAAATCTCTATGCTGTAATTCAGCAGGTTTACTCTTATACAGATGGTGGATGCTTTGACATCCGTGAGGACCGCTTGTTGATGCTTTCATTTTACAGTCTGACTGGGACAGAGACCTCAACTTTCTTAAAAGGCCACCAACATTCATGGCTCAGATGTAGCCTAGAAGCCCAGTGGTCCTGGTGCCTGGGCTGTAAATAGAGCCATGACGGAGGGTGGAGGCTGGGAGTTCGTGAGCTCTAAAGGAGCTGGCCTAGCAGGCTGAGAGACCTTTGTTTGCAGATCTTAGTGGCAGTAGCCTTGAACAAGAACTCAGATGTATGAATCGAATGATCAGGTAGTAGGACTGTCTGTCTCATGTTCTACCAAAGGAAACATGGTTCTTTCTGGTTTTCAAGAAACTAAATTACTTGCTTGAGTTCTGGAAGAGGGAACTGAACTGAGCATGCTGTGACCTAGTCATAATCACAACATAGTCCTTCCTCCATTTAACTCAAAAAGTGCTGCTGCTTTAAAATAAACCCACAGACTACACTGTAAAACAGTTCTGACTTGCTCCCTGCAGTTGCAGGAAGGCTCACGTGTTGCACGTAGCACACACAAAAATACCCAACTCCTTTGATCATGGTTCAACAATTTCCAGTGACCTTCCTGCCTTGTGTGCACAGGCTGCTCCCTTCTGCCCTCTTGCCTAGTCCGACTCCATTTCGCATTGAAAATAGTAAACTGGTCCTAGCCAGTTCTCAATTTGGGGGCTGAATATTGACCCATACATCTCTCTACAACAATTAATGTATTATTTAGGTCAACTAACAAAATAGATCTAGAGCCTTCAAGATTTAACAGCAAGTATAATGAGCAATTCTTAACAGCTGTTTATGCTATCTTACGGTTCTCTGAGAATTACCCAATTATGTAACAAGCTTGATTACAAGTTTCATTTTCTGTTGCGCTCTTAGAGGTCCTATACTTTTTATTTCATACATAATGGAACGGTGTAGTTTATGCTTTTAAAAGAGCTCATCCTTTTCAGTTGTTGAATAGGACTCTCTGTAATCCTCCTTAAAAGTTCATACTTACTCTTCCATGCTTTGAGGTTCTGATGCATACAGTGGCACAACAACTTTAAAATCAAATAGGTTTTTTTCATAAGCAAAATGTTTCTCCCCATACACATTAACTTTTGTCTACAAACAGAGCTGTGCCTGGGCTCCACTCCCCCTTTCAATTACATCCCAATAAAAATTTTGCAGAGCATATGAGGGCCTTGTTAACCTTTTCTGTACCCTGCTGTTGTTATGTTCTGCACCCTGGTTGTTATGCCTTGGGGGTATCTGTGCCGCTTGGTCTACATGTGTTTATACAAATACAGACTGCTAATCAAAAACTCTGATGAAGCATAAAAGTAAACAGGATGGCACTTTGTCTCCACACTGTAGATACTGCAGCAGCACTGGGATAAAAAGCAATATGAATGATTTCTTTTTTTAATGTGAGCTAGTAAAAGCCTCTGAATGCACGGATCACATCCACTGGCTAATGTGCAGGTCTTATAAAGACACCTCTAAGCAGAATGGTTCACACTGTAGGATGATATACCTGACTTCATCAATAACTTGTCTTTTCTGTAACTCCCAAAAGCATTTCTCTAAGAATTAACTAATGCTGTCATAAGTCTCAGAAGATGCTCATCTGACAACTCCCTCCCATTGCCTTTCTTGTACTTAGGAAATCTCCCAATACAACCTTCGTTAGTCCAGTCATCTGCATGCTAGCAATGTAAGTGCACTCTCCTTATGTCGCAGACCCATGGTAAGCTGCCTTGCTATCACTTCCCAAAATGAGGCAAGACTGCTTGTTGCCTTAGAGCTCCGAAGGCTGTAAGGTGGCAGCTTAATGGAAAAGGCAATGCCTCAGCTGTGTTAAACTTTCAGTTTCAATGGTCAAAACTCTGTGGGAAAGACTGCGTAAAGGATTCCTTCCATTGTGAATTTTTCAATTGTTAAAATAAAAATAGCTACTGGTTTATTCTGTTCTTTCATAGGTAATGGAAACAAATATTTATATGTTAAAATTCTGATACCCAAGGATCTTCATTTCAACAGAATTAGGACACAATCATTCGAAACAGCTATGAGGCTGCACATTTTTGACATTTCCTGCATTGTCAATCAGGATCTTACCCTATCTAAAAATTTCAACAGCAGTCCAAGTAGAGAAATAATCCTGAGGAAAGGATGACTGACACAAAAATACTTTGATTAAAGAGAATAAATTGGGTGGCTGCTGCTAATGCCACCTGTGTCCAACATCAGTCTGTCTACTGAACAAAAACATCAGTTCCGCTAATCACTACTTCAATCTTAAGACATGTATTTATGCCTTAAGATACAGCTTCTGCAGAAGCTACATTCAAAATGCAAAATAGATATCTATCATGAGTGCTGTTCATATGATAATGTTAAACTGTCTACTCCACAACAATAGGGCTCTTTTTCATATTTTTCCCTCTGGTTTCATCATTCGTTTCCTCAAAAAAGTTATTTCTTCAAGAATGCTAGGGTTTAGCCTACATAAACACCTTTCTTCTTTTGAATATGGGACTGTTCTTACTTTTTAATTTTTTGGTACAATACAGCAGAAATCTCTTCCAAAGCACCTCTCAGGTAAAGGCGGGTGAAGGGGCTGCGGACAGAGGGGCTGTTGGTTGCTGTTTATCCTTCCTCTTGCCAAAACAGGAACTGCTGACTCCCCCCTGCAGCTGGGGCAGGGCTTTATCATGGTGCAACTCCCTTTTCAAAACCATTCCCTTCCCAAAGAGGACCACTTTGGCTACCTTTTGCATTTACCTTTGTGCAAAATTGTTCAGCTCCAAGCTTATGCAAACACTGTCCACAATAAGATGCATAACCAATTCCCTTCTGAAAATGTTTTTATGTTCACACAAAGGTGGGTGTTCAGGCAGTTCTTTATCACACATCCTACCCAACTTGAAGTAAGCATTCTTGTATAAAGGGCTGTGAA